GCGATTTCAAGCAGTGAGGCCAAAGATGTGTCTGCAAATTGATCTGAGCAGTGCCTATGATGGGGTGTCCTGGGACTTTATTGTAGGTAGGCTGCATGCTCTTGGTTTTCCTGATATTTTTGTTTCACGGGTTCGATTGTGCATCTCCACCACTTATTTCTCTATCTTGAGGAATGGTTCTCGTAAGGGATATTTTAGAGGAAAACGAGGTTTGAGACAAGGGGATCCCCTATCTCCTTATCTCTTCTTATTGGTCATGGACTTCTTTAGCAAGCAGCTGGATTGAGCTATAATGCAAGGTATGGTGCCCAGAGCGTTTCCAATAGGATGCGATTATGGGGTATCTCATCTGTTCCATGCTGATGATGTCCTCATTTTTTGTGGAGCCTCTATTTCTTCTGCCACCGCTATGAAAGATCTTGTCTCTAACTTTGAAAGGGCTACTGGTCAAGTTCTAAATTCTTCTAAAAGCAAGGTCTTTTTCTTTGGCTCACCAAAGGGAGGTCATGGGAGAATATTGTAGGAGTTGGGGTTCTTTGAAGGATCTTTACCAGTTCGTTATTTGGGTCTCCCCTTGTTTCATGGGCATCTTAGACATAGTTATTGCCATGGTTTGGTGGGCAAGGTGTTCGGCAAGACTGAGCCATGGCACACAGGCAGACTTCAGTTACTCAAATCGGTTCTCAGTGCCCCAGCGATCTTTTGGCTATTGTCTTTTATTCTTCCGAGCAAGACATGTAATATGATAACACTCAAAAAAAAAAAAAGCCATGTAACATAATACAGGTTACAGAGAAATTTTTTATGGGCATGTGAGGTAGAGAAAAAAGGTGTTCATCTAGTTAAATGGAGGACGGTTTGTCGTACTCAGGTAGAAGGTGGGTTGCGAGTTCGGGATATGGTAGATTTCAATATCGCTGGTATGATGAAATTAGCTTGGAGGATTCTGGGAAACTCATCCTCTCTGGTAGCCCGGTTCTTCAAAACACCGTTATTTTAGAGAATCTTCAATATAGGAGGCCAAGGTACAAAGAAGATGTTATCATGCTTGGAAGGGGATTCTACTTGGTTTATCTCATTTGAAAGACAATGTACAGTGGAATATTGGAAATGGTCAAATGGTAGATTTTTGGGTCGATCCATGGTTATCGAGTCAGTCGCTATTGGATTTGGATGATACTTCTAAGGAGGATTTGGGGGTTCCTGCAAGGAGTAGGGTTTCTGACTTTATAGAAGGTTCTCCTCAGTCTTGGGTCGTGCCTAATCCCACATCTGATACTATGAGGACTATATGAAGGGAGGTTCAATCTTATGCTCTTCCTTTACAGGCCAAAAATGACTCTTTCATTTGGATCCATTCTGCTGATGGATTGTTTTCAGTTAGAGGAGCATGGAATTTTGTGCGACAGCAAAGTTCATCTCAACCTATATTCCATGCGCTATGGTCTTCTAAATGCCACGCAGAGGGAAATGGTTCTCATGGCTGGCCTTGCATAACCGGTTACCGACTTCCTCCTTACTACAACAGCGTGGCATGCAACTGGATTCTTTGTGCTCATTCTGCAGCAATCACAACGATAGTATTTTTCACCTCCTGTTTCAGTGTGGTTTTGCACATGGAATATAGCAATCTCTAGCTCGGAGATGTGGGAAGCGATTCATCCTTGGTATCTCTGGCCCTAATATTCATAGATGGTGGTCACTTTTCAGGTTCAAATCACATGGATTGCTCAATATCTGGTTGTCTATCTTCTTCACCACTATTTGGTTTCTATGGGGTGCGCGGAACAGGCGAACATTTGAATTCAGAACCACCATGAGAGAACAAATAGTGAATCAGATTATCTTACATGTTCAAGGACTTGCAGAGGCTAAAGGGTGGTCGTTTCATTTATCTGAGAGGGCCATCATTGGGAACCTCCACATAAGTTGGCGTCAGTTGATATCAGCTCCTCCCATTCCAATGGCATGGTCCTTTCCTGAGGCTAGGCATTACAAGCTCAACATTGATGGTGCCTCCTTGGGAAATCCAGGTTTAGCAGGTGGTGGTGGGGTCATCCGAGACTCAACTGGTGGTTTCACTGCTGGCTTTTCCTCTAATAATCACGCAGAATTTCTGGCCCTTGTAGAAGGCATTCATGAGGTTCATCAGAGAAATTGCTCCCCAATCCAGATTGAAAGCAATTTGACCCTTCTAGTGAATGTCATTTAGAACCGTTGTCAAGCTCCTTGACAGTTACAAACGATCACAGATAATTGCCGCACAAGACTTTCGACCCTTCAATGGTCCATTGCGGATGCATATTGTGAGGCAAATATGATTGTTGATGCTCTATCCAAGAAAGCAGTTGCTGGCCCAGGTGCTACTGTATGGCGCAACCGTCCACCAGACTTTATCACTCCTTTACTCCATGATCTAGCGCAACTGCCCAATTTTAGGGTTGTACGATGCATTGTAATTCCTTTTTATTTTAATTAATGAAACATCAGGTAGGGGGCCTCATCCCCCACTGACTTACCCAAAAAAAGAAAAGTAGAATGGAGCAAGAAAAAACAGCAAGTCATTATAACTACTACAATCAAATTTTTCTTTCGGACAACTATTCCAGAATGCATAGGAAGGAACTAGCCACTTAATTTGTTAAAGGAAAATTTCATTATGCGTCAGGTGAAGCATGAGTCCACCCTGGTTTTCCATGGGTTTAGGATTTAAAACCCACCCTAAATTACTACAAATGCATTTCTGCATTTGATCCATGAATTTGCAGTTCCCAAAATAGTCCAGATCAGAGAAGAACTGAAGTGAATTATCCCCAAAAAAAAAAAAGTTTAAACTGATTATTTTAAATGTTAAAAAATTATTTTTTTGAAGATTCATGATCGTGGTGGCTAAGACTATCAACCTGTGAAATTTTGGATCCAAAATCCATCCAAATGGCTTTTGGAGCACGGATGCATTTGAAAAGGTGTATCAGCTGATGCACCAAAGTCCTACCTGTTATTAAAAGCACTATATATGTACCAATCTTGGAGGGCTAACCCTCAAGATTCAATACAAATATGTACAAGACATTATTTGAAGCTCAATAATTTCCCCAATGACAAATTGACTCCCCCAGCTTTGAGGGAACAAACAAATCATCCTATTTATTTCATTCCATCCCCCTCTATCATTGACAGAATGCAGAGGTCTTTTAATAAGACAATGCATAACTTATCTATTCATAAATTTGATTTCTGAAATGAGTCTATCTCCCTTGGTATCCACTAACTTGAAAGTACATAAGAAGACACCATCATTGAAGATCATGTTCAGGACCCAACATACCAAGACAAATATGACATGAGGTGGCCAGTTTGAATCCAAACTCATCTATATTTCATCAAAAGTCAAGAGAAGAGAACCACCCATGATTGAACCTTTAAAGACAAACCTTGGAAGAAAGTAAACACTATCCCTCCCAATTCCTATACATCCCAAAGAAAGAACAAAGAGGCTTCAATCTGTCTGATATAATTATCCATCATCTTGTTCATTTTCACTTATGAAATCAACAAAGCCTCAAAAAATCTTTGATTATAAATTCGTCAAAGGGAGATTATTTATTGTTTTAAACTGGCTAACAAAGTATTTGAGACTCACAAGCCACCTCAGTTCTGCATAAATACAATTTCTTATAGTTTACAGTCAAATTCGGAAGACCCCATCCATGGGAGGTGAGCTCTTCCACTAAATAGAGAAAACTCTATTTCAACGTAGAAGAAAAAGCAGTGCCCCTTTTTCTTTGATAAGTGAAATCAATGGGTTCTTTATAAACTTTCAAAAAAAATTCTCATCCATAATAGCCAATAAAAAATTAAAAGCAAAGTTACCTCAGATAATAACTCTTCCGCAACCTGTCTTTGCCCTACCAATTAGGATACTTGCAGAGAAACAATTGCAGCCCAATGTAATTCTCCTTTCTAAAAGTGAATCCTAAGCCCCTCCATCTAGAAAATTCCCAAGGCGCCTTTTCCCAAAAATCCTAATTTTGTCTTTTCTTGAAAGTTGGAATTACTCTCTTTTGAAACCCATATAGAAGCACCAGGAAATAAGGTTTACATTAGCTTTCATAATGAAAAGCCTTATCTGGCACCAAATCCCAGAATTGACCATTTCTAAATCAAACAAGCACAAATTTCCATAATCCATTTTGGAATCAGTAAAACTCCAAGATATGTTTGCTGCTTTTGAGACCCTCTACTATTAGTCAAATGTTTGACATACGCAGAAGCCCAAAACAATCCATTTAAGTCCTAGAAACTAACTTTTGTGATATTTTAGTCCTAACCAACCCAAGCCCTTTACTAAAACAAACTTCTTGTCCCTGGACTGGTTTCAAATTTACTCCTCAGGTGTTTCTCAATCTCAAATTTAAAAAAATATCCTATGCCATGTGGCATCGTTGGTGGCACAGGGACAAGAGTTAGTTACTGAATCAGGTATAGTTATCTACATCTAAATTTCTAATTACACACTTCAATATTTTTTCATAATCATTTGGCTGCTTTTGTAAACTTGGAAGTTATGGATGATATAAACAAGACTGTAGACGTACCAAAGGAAAATGTAGTGGATAGCATTACACAACTGTTAGATGCAGTACCAATAGGCAGCTTAAATGAATCTCTTGCATTTTGGTTTCCAAGATATATTATAGGGATTTTTCTCTGAAAATATCCCAAAATGTTCTTGCATCATGACATGCTACACATGTTAAATAGCTATATGGATCTGCATTTCTCCACAGACAAGGAAAGTAATGATCAACTCAAGAAGGACCGACAACCACTTGAAGCTTTAGGGATATAGTGGGACTATTTTCATCACAACAATCATTCTTGAAAAATAATATTAATAACAAACTATGAAAGTAATTTTGTAAGAAATACAATGCTTATGGCAAAGAAGCTTACCACAAGAACATAGGAATCTGCATTGAAGTATCATATAATCATACCTCCAATATCAACAAGAGCCAATTTCTCATGGAAGATGACTTGGGCAAAAATTGATCCGGTGATGGGAGTACTCAAGTTAAAAAGAATTGCATCAGAAAGTGGTAACCTTTGAATACTGCAACATGAAATGTAGAACAAATATCTAACATTAGCGTAATGGTTTACTAGGAAACTATTGAAAGGGTACTTAATAAAGAATTTTAGTGAATGTGACATGATAAACTTAATTAAAAAGCAAAACCATCTTACAAAGAGTACACATTATAGCGTAAGAATTTGATACAAATAATAAGAAATAATAAACACGAGCAGTCAACATATATGAGTGGGTGTTTAAAATGTTATCACATCCAATTTTATCAGAGACGCTTCAAAACGTTCTCCCTTTTGGCTGAGAAATAGAAGAGCTTCAGTTTTATGGCAGATTTGGTGTGAGTCTTCGGGTATATTTTAAAAACAGAAAATTCCAAAAAAATATATATATATATAAAATGGACATGCCCCAGTCTCCTCTGCCTTTTGGGAGTACCTTCTGCCCCTTTTTCAGTTTCTTTGGGCTTGCCCAAAGGAAATGAATCAACTTCTCCAAGCTTATTTTGCCCAACCTCTGCCGACAATAGGCCGCAATATATGAAGGATCACTATGCTTGCTACCGTGTGGACTATTTGGAATGAAACAAATGCTAGGACCTTCTCAAGTCAAAACCACCCTCTGGCCTACCTCCTCGATTGGACCAAAGCCCTAGTCTGTTTTGGGCCGAGAGACTGCGGCAGTGCATCGCTCTATGAACCTCAATCTTCATCTCCAATTGATACAATATTTTGCATTTTGCACCTAGTCTGTCCCATCATAGGGTCCGCTGGGACCCTCCTTCCCAGGCTCTCTGGAACTCAACTTTGATGGATGCTCACCAGGAACATGGGCACTGCTGGATACGGGGGTAACTTCGGAGATTGTATCACTAATCTCTTATCCTTTGAGGCTTCATAGGCCATCTGACCTCCAACACTGCGGGAACAATTCTGTTTGTTAGAAGGATTGAAAAGAACAATCACCCTTATTGATAACTCCAGACCGTCATAGTGGGAAATGTGACAAACCCAACTACCATGGAGACTAGCCCATCATTACGACCATATCTCCTCACTTTGTGTGGAGATCATGTCACATCCCCAGGGAGACCAATGCCATTGCTTATTTTCTTGCCAAACAGGGAGAAGCCACACCAGTGTCCGTAATGGAAACACCGACTAAAACAGCGGCTACAAAGAATATACTCTCTCTCTCTCTCTCTCTCTCTCTCTCTCTCTCTCTCTCTCTCTCTCGTCCGTCGTCGTACGTACGTACTACGTACTACGTCGTACGTACGTACGTACGTACGTTACGTTACGTTACGTTACGTTACGTTACGTTACG